CGACCGTCAAAACTCCTGTGCAGGAGAAAAGCTGCTTAGAAATTGCTTCCGTTCCCCCCTACTCCAGGTAAAGCCGCGCGCATATTGCGTATGCGTTCAGGTGCATCATGTGCTTGAGCGTTAATGGATTCCACCTATCTACAAAATGCTAGGTGCATTTAAGAGTGTTTACGCATGCAGAGGCTTCATGCACACGGGTATAAAAAATGCTGCTGCGAAGGACGTCTTTTTTTTTTTTATGCCCATGAACGTATCTGCATGTTATTTAATGTGGTCATGCACATGTGGTTGTTTATGTCTGCATTTGTTACCAGCGTTCAGGGCATTAAACATGCCCCAAACCAGAATAATTATAAAGAAATGCCGAGCCCCTAAAATGAATTAATCTAACTGATTAATTATTGACTGTGTCACATGAAATAATAAATCTATATAATCATAAATAAATAAATTATATTTAAATCCACTTTCATAATTATTCTTAAATTAAATAAATACAATTAAATTCAATTATAGGTGGAATAAATATGAACCAATATGTGTAATTGTTCAATGGTAATTCAAATAAGAAAAATAAAAAATATATATAAAAAATGTCCAGAAATTGATTTATGTGTTCAAAACGTTGTTTGGATCTTTGCTTCAGTTATGACACTCCTATGCGCTCACCTTCCTGTAAGCCTAATTCTAGGCAAAACAAAGCTTTAGATCCAATAAGATGATGACTTTTACTTGATTCTATGGTTGGATCCTTCAGGATGCAGATGGACTGTGGATCACCAAAATTCTCCGGGATTAACCGCTGCTTGAGTGCTGGTAAAATATTAGGATCTCTCCCTCCTTACACTACAGGATTTTGCTCCTCCCTCCCTCGGCTTACCTCGTCCTCATTTCAGCTAGGGAAAAAAAGAACGGCGAGTATCAGCCTGTGTGTGGAAGACACACAGAGGAGCCTTGTTGCAATTGCATTGAGCGGCTTTTTATATACAAGGTGCATAAAATTCAAGTTGCTAATCATGACGTGAGTGCTATCTATATTACTGGGGCAAACAATAAACCTTTTAAAAAATGATAAGGCACTATACCACCCAACCTTTTCTTTTTTTGCTCCTGCTATTCACATTAATATAATTACGCATACCAATAAGGATGTGATTAAGTGCCAGTGAACCACATAAGAAAAAAAAGTTCATTATTTTATTTGTGGCTCACAAGTAATCACACACATTTTGTCAGATATGCCCCAAACACTGCATTCGGAGCACAGGATATCAGCACCTTTTTCTATGCATGTACATGCATAAACGCCTCACCTAAACGTGCCATAAATGTTGGCGTAAATTATTTCAATGGCCAGAATAATTTACTAGTCTGGTCAGTAGAATGAATTTACACTGGAAACAATACATGCGTATACACCATACAAACGCCCCATTAGAGGCATTTTTCTGGCAGAAATATTCCGCATATTGGAGCATCCCATTGTAATGTGCAGGGAGCCTTAAACGTTGCTATACTTAATACAGTAAAATGATGTAACTATGACTCAGTGACTACCATTCTTGCCTGAAACCATTGAAGAGAACGGTTTGATTCCCTCCAGCCCTTCTGTCAGACTGACATGCCATTTGTGTTTGCATTTACAAGCAAGAAAAAAAAAACTTTGATCTGAAGAAACAAGCTACAGTCTGCGAGATACCATCAGATGACATTGCTGGTGAGTTGTGATATTTTGGCTCATCATCATCATAACACACAGCAGCTAAGAATACCAGCAACCTGTGCGCGCTAAAACGCAGAGGAATATGCATCATATTGAGTATTGTTACTGGAAACCTCATGTAAGGTATGCTTGTCACAATAGAAATATGGGGGCTGTTTTTGTCAATCTTCTGAAAAGGTTGCACTGACTGTCTCTGTCCTTGATCATTTCTGAGCTGATGACCCAGAACAAGTATGCAGCTATTGATGTCAGCTCCTGATCTACATCATTGATTAAAATGAAAACTGTGGCAGCCCACGTATTTCTCTTATAATTGGTCTTCTTTAAAGGAAAGCTTTCAGGATAGAAAACCATAGAAGCTTTTGTTGACTTGTCTCAAATGTACATGTTTTGTGGCTGCCATCCTGGTTGTGGCTTTACTACCTGGGAAGTCAGTGATCTGGAGCAAGCATGTAGGGCCAAAATTAAGTCTCGTAAGACCTTAATGGGCGCATGCTTAATCCAAAGCAATGAATCAGTAGGTTGTGAAACCAACCTAATAACAACAGCCCCAGACAGAAGGTTCAAAGCAAGAAAGCAATGGCAGCTTTGATATTGATATCCTTAGGGGCAGCCCATACATTAGTCAGTTGGTTTTTTTTTTAGTTCAAGCAGCGGGTTGAAAAAAAATAAAAAGTGACCGGATTCTCCCCATCCCACAGATTTGAGGTGGATGGAGGAATCCTCACCGCTGTGCCATTGTATACTGAAGGCAGAAAGACTTTCCCGCTGTCACAATAAGCTGATCAGCGCTGCAGGCTATAGCCTGCAGTGCTGATCGAGCGGCAGATGTCAGTTGGTAGATCAACTTCTGTTCAACCACAGTGCTATACATGGATCGAAATTCAGCCAGTCCACTAAAATGACTTAGGCCCCCTTTCACACGGGCGGTTAGATTTCAGCTTTTAGCTGCAGTTAGAGGAACTTACTTACCGCAGCTAAATGCAGTCAATGCATCCCTTTGGCTCCATTCACACACTGTTTAGCAACATTTTCATAACATACAGTTTTATACGTTTAAGAAAAATAAAGTTGACTGTGTCCAGGAGCGATGTACTGCAGCTATCTGTACATAAACACAGTTAATCGCAGTACAAAGAAAAAATAAGTAAACAGTTGCATTAGAAAAGGCAAGAATTTACTACCGCAGCTAAAAGCAGCCCGCATGTAAACGCAAGTAAACACAATGTACAAACGCAAGTGATCTCTGTGCCAGGAGTGTTGGAATTTCAAAATAAAAAAACCTGCATTTACAAGCGGCAGAACAACTGCCCGTGTGAAAGAGGCCTTAGTCTTGCAGGATGCATGTTTCAGCATCAGAAGTGCAGTGCAGATCATGTATACAAATTTATGTAATCTATCATCATACTTTTCTGATGTTTTTGGAAGGGATGTCTTGTATAAGCTACAGAAACTCTAAGACTGCTTTTAAATGATAAGTTCACCTTTTAGACCATGTAACATGTACAAGCACTACAGCCTCTCCCCCTCTCACTGTGAAAGCGATCAGGGGATCCTCTCCCTGTGCCCACTGTCACTATTTGAAAATAACGTTGCCGTGTGTATGGCTCCACCCACATGGCTGCATCATTCATTCAGTTTCCTAGGAATGAACAAACTACAACTACCATCAGCCATTGCAGCTTATGGCTTGTAGTTCTGAATGGCCTGAAAGGTCGCTGATGTGGTTGTAGGTTATTTCACAAGCCCTGCAGCTTGCAATCAGTCAGCCCATACGAACGTAAAAGGCTGAAAGCTGCAGGCCTTGTCTGCAGGAGTCTGACATTGCACCCCTGATCTACTGATCATGGGTGCAATGCTTTCCAGGTTCCTTAGGGAAAAATAATAAATTCACTTTTTTTTTTCCCTGCAAAAATGTAGGAGCCGTGCATTTTTTATTTTTTTCAAAAAAAAAGTGAACTTATCCTTTAACAGAATGTAGGTGTAAGGTGAAAAGTGAAGCTTTAAGACACAGCCTCAGAGGACTTACACTTAAAGTGTTACTAAACACAGGATCCTGTATTCACTATATATGGTCTCCCACAGTACACAGTGCATGGAAGTGCAATTTTTTTAGTAAATATAACTGATAAAAATACCTTTCCCGACCCCCGGCTTGTTTTTCTCGATCAGCAATTATAGCACTGTTGATTTCCCACGTCGTACAATTATATCAGTGTTCAGCAGAGCACATACTTAACGCTTGTAGGAGAGGAGTTTTCATCATTTTGCTTTAGGAAAATGTAGGACTCCTGACCTCTGTCTGGACAGTGATAATTGGCCCTGTTGCTGATCACATTGCACTCTCCCAAGCAAAAAAAAAAACAAACCTCTCTAGCAAATTCATACACACCAAACGGAGCTTGTGCAAAGTGACTCCACACGATATGGTCTTACTCTCAGGAGATAAGAGGGTCTCACACACTGGAAGAAGGGGAGGATCAGAGAAGTCAGGATCAAACTGTTTTTACACAATGAAGAGGATTAACCCCTTAGGTTCCAAAGTGAGTATAACAAGCAATGCTTTATTGCATATGCAGACTGATTTTACTGTTGTGGGTTTAGTAACACTTCAAGGGCTTCTGTTGATAGGCTTTTGCTCATGTCAGAACTGTTTCTCTATTCAGATCCATGGGAATGCAAAAGCAACTGAATGCAGGTCAGAGGGAGGTCAAACTCACTTGTCATTGATCTTGAACGGTCTCAGAGGCATTGTAAACTGGTGTCAAAACAAGCTGCATTTTCCCATCAACACAGGTTCAAAATTCATTGAAATGGGCCCATATAACTGAAAAAGTTGCATTTCAAATTTTCATTTGTACCAAAGAACAGTAATAATATATTTAAAAATAAAATTGGTACATGCATTGAAGAAGAAATTAGTGTAAATAAGTATATTTTATATTTGCCCGTGTCAAATGGTCTTTGTTTACATCAGAACTGCTTCTCTATCCATACAAGTGTGAAGGAATACAAAAAAAAGCTTAAAAGCAGGTCAAGAGCAGGCGAGAAGGAGGTCAACCACACGTCACTGCAGACTTGGATGATCTCAGAAGGCTCTCTCAAAGCGACGCTAAAACTCATGCGCATCGATACAGCCCAAAGTCTTTCAACTCATTCCTTATTCAGTGTGTAGTATATTAATAACTTCAATTGTTTGCTTGTAAAACTTATAAATACATGTGCAGAGCTGCATAAACTGCTGCCAATTTAGAAATAAAACTCGTAAGGTACTTACAGCTTCTGATTTGGGAGGCACTGGAGGTGGAGGTAAGGGTATATCACAACACTTGCTGGTCAGAAGAGATCCGGGAGATGAGAGGGAGGATGTGCCACACTTGGAATGAAGAGACCCCCGAAAAGGATCACATTTGTTCTTTTCACTTTGTGAACGGGTAAGGGGTTGTCCTCCTCGTTTTACTGTTTCCCATTTCTAGCCAGAGCTCCTCATAGGGAAGCTCTGGCTTGGCAGGTAGACTTACAGATTCCTCACCAGTTTCAGGGAAGAGGTAATCACTTCCACTGTCACCAGAGTCCTGGTACTGTGGGGAATCTTGGGGGTACACTGCCCAGTCCCCACAAATATCCCGACAGCCATGCAGGTTCACTTCACTGTTTCCATGCAGGTTGTTTCCATATACACAGACAGAAAGTCGATGGAAAGACTGAGTCAGCTCATCACGGGCATAGCTTAGCGAGTTGGGTATGTGACTATGTCCAGAGCAATAGCTCTTTTTCGGACTCTTACATTCTTCATTCCAGTCTGCTTTAACATCCCTCACCGCCCGAGAATATTCCTCAATATCAAACTGTTCTTGACATACGTTGTACCAATGCTGAACTATGGACTCTTGCCACGCTTCACCTTTCACTACGTTTTCAGGAAGACTAAACTTCGGGACAGACAAATGTAAGGGAAAATGCATGGGAATGATTTTGCTGCCACGCAGCACACAACAAACAACGACAGTCTTGGTTTGGATGTTGACAAACTTATACCGATGTCCCTCCCGAATGAAATGAAGGTCGTAAGGGTTTCGGGGAGGTGGGCTAGGCACAGTCACATTCACAGGCAGCCGTGTTTTCTCTACAATGTTGCGGATTGTGTGTTCCCCGTCTTGCATTTGAATCTCTAGAGGGCTGCGAGTGCTAAACCTTCCTTTACATTGGAATGGAAGGCTAATGCTTTCATTAGTTCTATGATTCATACAGATCAGGCAAGGCATTTTGCCTTTACCCAACTTGCTGATGGAGTTCAATTTTCCAATTTTCTTAAAAATTGTATTCAGACGTGATTTCTCCTTGGATGTTTTTGCATACAGAATTTCAGCCTGGCCCATTAACGTCAGTTCATCTCCCGTACACAGCGTGATGTTATAGACTTCTGTGTCTTCATTGCACTCTCCTGATGCAACCTGAAATTCACAACAAATTATATTACAAGCGTTACTATACACAGAGCATTATCATATAATATAAGCATTACATAAAACCTAACATGTCATAACAAAACAAGCAGCTAAGCTGATCACAAAGAATTCATATACAGAAATAAACTGTTCTAGATGAATAGCTCTGGATATTTATCTCTTGGCTTTAAGGGTTCTTTCCTCTGATAAGCTGCTTTCTTCAAAGATATTAAATGAAATACAGTATTCCTTTGTTGAGTTTGAGCTGTAATGTAGGGTCTTTTTTTTTGTAATCAAGTAAATATGTCTTAGAAATGACTTAAAGTGGTTCTAAAGCTTAAACATTTTTACCTTAATGTTTTCCGTGCATTAAGGTAAAAAAAATGATTAGGCATCGGAAATGCCCCTCTTATACTTACATGACCCCCTATTCGATCTAGAGTTGTGCACTTCTGCAGCTCTTCTCTCCCCTCACTCTTGGGTCTCAAAGGCTTTGCTGAGGCAGCGGGAGCCATTGGTTCCCAGTGCACTCAATCAATATTAGTGTCAAGGGGGCGGGGGGCAGGGCTGAATCCCGCACGAGTGTCCCCATGGGAAGCGTCTTGAAGGTACTTGGTGGAGAGAGGCCAGCGGGGGGGGGGGGGGGGGGGGGGGGCATGAGAAGAGGAGGTTCAGGGCCTCTGTGTGCAATTGTATTGTAAGTATAACATGTCTGTCATTTTTTTTCAATGTTTTCCTTTACAGCCACTTTAAAGATGAACTCCAGCCTTACCTTTCTTCTTACACAGTTGTAAGATTCTCACAATATACACTGGACGTCAAGTAATGTCCGTCTTATAAACAGGCTGGAGGAACATCATTATTATGATAGCATAGATCATTTCCCAGCCTTACTGTCCCATGGCCCAACCTCTTTCATTCCCTGGATTTCAGGTCTTTCAATTATTGCGGCTCAACATCACATGTGGGCGTTACCAACGTTTCTTATTTACAAGAGGCTATGTATAGCACATTGCTGGCCCCTCCCTATTTTTGGGAGGTTATGTAAAGAACATTGTTGGCCCCTCCCCCAGCCATGATCTGCCTGCAAACATACCCAGAGATGATGTGTAAAATTGTGCAATGAAAGCAGAAAGGTTTTATTTATTTCATTAGCTTGTTCATGAGGGGGCTAAGGGAACCAAGGAAGGCAAAGTATAATCAGATTAAACTTCAGCTTTAAAACAAATATATGTTAAAAAAAAAAAAAAAACATAAAATACCTCCTGACAGTGTTTATCAGCCACCTACCAGTGTTCTAAATACCCTAAGGCTGGGTACACAAGGATCAAAACTCAGCTAGTCCTGTCAAATTTTGATCTGTCAGTAGCTGTCTGTTAGACAGAAGTGGATCACTAGGCAGCACAGTGGCTAAATGGTTAGCACTCTTGCCTGGCAGTACTAGGGTCATCGGTTCGAATCCCAAACACGGCACCACCTGCCTGGAGTTTGCTTGTTCTCCCTGTGTCTGCGTGGGTTTCCTCCGGGTACTACGGTTTCCTCCCACACTCCAAAGACATGCTGGTAGGTTAATCGGCTCCTGTCTAAATTGGCCCCAATATGTGTATATATGAATGTGAGCTAGGGACCTTATATTATACGCCCCTTGAGGATGAATGTACAATACATATGTAAAGCACTGCGTGATTTGACGGCGCTATACAAGTACCTGTAATAATAATAATCAGCTTTTGTTGAACAGGATTGCTGGGAACCCTTCTTTGAGATTTCAAACAGCTGTAGTACTGATCAGTGAATTTTGACAGTAGAGAGTCCCCTCTGTCAGAATACGATGTCCCAGTGAGGGGGGGATTCCTGCATCCAACTTACTTGTGGGGATGCTGGAATTTGTTAATTTGTTTTTTTCAGCCGGCGGGCTGAACGAAACAATCCACATATGTATACCAAGTAAGAATGTAAATAAGGATCAGAAAGGCAACATTTTCAATATGAAGGCAAGATCAGGAAAAAAACACAGGAATATAGCCTCAAACTAATAGGAGGAATGTTCAAAACGAACCGAATAAAATGAACTAATAAATTATTATTTTAGTGATAGAGAAGGTAAAGTTTGGAACAGACATCCAGAAGATTAAGTAGTTCAATTATGAGTCAGATAATTTAAACATGCTTGTGATGAAAACATAGGTACAAAAAGGGTAAAAATATTTTTTTGAGAACTCAAAATACTAAAAAAGAAGGGGACAGACTGGTTGGAGCAACTTGTCTTTTTCTGCTGTCACTTTTGAGTTTCTATGACCGAGGTTCTAACTTTTCCCCAATCTATCCCTTTACTCCTATAGCAGTTATACATTGTGTCTATGTACATACCAACAGGCTACAAAACAACAAAAGAGAGGGAGCACCAACCTAGTCAAGTCCTTAAAACGTGTTAGCCGTTTTTGGACGCTATGAAGTCTCCCCATGCCATCAGCTGAGACCTTTAGAAATGCTTGTGCATGATATGAGTTTCTGAATATTCACTTGTTATTTATTTTTAATAAAATTGAGTTTTGGTAATGCGCTAAATCAGTACGCTCTCTCTTTTGCAGTTTTGTAGTATGCATAAAGATACCCACAGTCCTGAGAGGGCAGCAAAATATTTTTGTGCTGTTTCTGCAGGACAAGTCAAGAGGAACGTTCGTCCAAACTGTGGGCACCAAGCCTGAGCGTAGGAGGTTTTACTTTGGTTCATGGACCAACAGGCATCTGAGTTGGACCTCACTGCCCAGTGCACTCGATAATCTTACAGACCTGGTCAGACACATTCTCTCCTCAGTACTACATCTTGTGTGGGGACACTTGTGATGAAGGTTTGTTGTTACTGATTCTTGCCAGCAAAGAGAATTAGAATGGAACAGCAGGCAAAATATTTTACTAACAGAAAGGGGTATATTATGACATTGGAAAGTAAAATCTTCAGGAGGATTTGAACACTGACAAACATTTATCAGTGACCATCCTGGTATAACCTCCCCCACCCCACAATGGATTTTACAAGTACAGAAATTCTGTTTTCTTTCTTATTCATTGAGGGACACAAGATTCAGAAAGAATTGGGACATCAGAAAGGAGTCCAACTGAGGGGCGGGCAACGACACATTGAAACACACACATAGCATACACTACATTCAGGCAATGAAGGAGATCTCATACACTGGAGGCCTCAACACATCTTGTCCTTATAAAGACCAACAATTGCTCTTTACAGGAGAAAGCCACCGGCTCAGACACATCACATACCTTGCAGAGGTAATGGCAACAAGAAAGGTAACTTTGTGAGTAAGGACAAAAAGGTGAATGGGGCCAACATCAAACTGCAGGGCTCAAAGAAAGAAGAGCTGAATGACTCCTGTGCTGAAGATCAATTCAAAAACAATTCTTTGATGATTTGAAAGCATTACATTAAGGGCTAAAAACAGCCTAAGATTTCTTAAAAGAGAAGTGAAGTTTTTAAAAAGCAAACAATCATACTCACCTAGATGGATACAGCATTGTTCCAATGCTGCACCTGTCCCCCGCTGCCTCTAAGACCAAGACCTGAGCGATCACACTACCGCTTATTGCTCAGTTCTCAGACTTTTTTGAGCATAGAGCGGTGACCGTCAGTCACCGGCTCTCAGCTCTGACCCTCCGGCACTCACTGGAGTGCTGAGCTGTAGAGGGGGTGGGAACAACTTGATCAGGCTTTCAGTGGACTGCCAGTCAGGCATCTGAGTGGATTCCATCATTAAAGTCGGGATCCCTCCAGAGTCTGGACTGGATCAGTGGCGTCAGCCTATAACAGGCTTTAGCCTGCTGTTGGCTAAATGTGGGCCACAGGAGGGTGGAACTAAGTGCACTCCTATGACCCACAGAAGTATGTCCAAAAGTGCTTTGGCCATACTTTTCCTTTAAGTGTTTCATGCTCACAAGAGCTTAGTCAGACTGAAGAATTTGAATGAGTATAATAATAATAATAATAATAATAATAAAAGAAATAGAGGTTCCTCTTGATTTGAGCTTTGTCTAGAATAAGACCCAGATACTCCCTTTTCAAGTTCTCAATTGCCCATGCCACAATGTTGGCCAGAGCCTGTGCTGATTGCTCCCTCTTTAGCAGGTCATCCAGATATCCCTCAATGGGGATACCCTGGGAGCGTAGCCAGAGAAAACAAAGTTTTGGAAAGAATCTCTAAGCATTTGTCAATGGAATCCTTAAAAAACAAATGCATCATACAAGGAGATCGTCAGTGCCTTATTAAAATCATGGTGAACACCCCAGCATGGGACCTGGAAGGCACGGAGGATCACTGTAGTAGTGGCGTCTACTACAGTGATTCTCCTATCCCCCAGGTATGGAATATACATAGTTACATTGGTTCAAACTAGATCAATATAACTATGCAAAAAAAAAAAAAACATACCGGAAATTCAGCTTTAAAGCAATATTAAACACAAAACCATAAAATAAATTGTGCAAAATTGCCTGTTGTGCTTGCGGTACCATTCATTGTTAAAGACACTTGAACACGCCACGCAAGACACATGGAGGTTTATTTACTAAAGCTGGAGAGTCCAAAATCAGACTCCCTTCTGCATAGAAACCAATCAGCTTCTAACCTCAGCTTGTTCAATGAAGCTTTGGCAATGAAACCTGGAAGCTGATTGGTTTCTATGCAGAAGTGAGTCTGATTTTGGACTCTCCAGCTTTAGTAAATAAACCCCATGGGCTTCTTTGCCATTTTGTTGCATGTAGGGCAACCCAGTTGAAATGAATGGGCTGCCCTATATGTGAAGTGTGTCAATGCATAGAAAAAACGCACCTATGTGCAATGCCTGACATTATGGGGTTTATTTACTAAAGCTGGAGAGTCCAAAATCAGACTCCCTTCTGCATAGAAACCAATCAGCTTCCAGGTTTCATTGCCAAAGCTTCATTGAACAAGCTGAGGTTAGAAGCTGATTGGTTTCTATGCAGAAGGGAGTCTGATTTTG